CAGGCATTGCAATTCTAATATCTGACAAAATAGACTTTAAAACTATTCAGAAGAGATAAAGAGGGCCTCTTCATTCTGATCAAAGGAACAATAAACCAAGAAGATATTACAATCATGAACATATATTCACCAAACTCTGGTGCATCCAACTTGATAAAAACAATACTACAGGACTTTAAGAACCAGATTAATCCCAACTCATTAAGTAGGGGACTTCAATACCCCACTGTCTCCATTGAATAGGTTAACAGGGCAGAGAGTGAACACCTAGACCCAGAAGGACCAAGATGGAGAGCTCTGCTCTGCTCTAAAGGGACAAGAACAGATATAGTACAGTCCTTATGAAAGTTTATCTTCCAAGAAAAAGTCATAGATGAGCAACAAATACTAACCCTATTTAAAAGAAGAAGAAATCTCAACAAATACAAAAAGATCAAAATAATTCCATGTATTCTATCAGACCACAATGCAATAAAGCTTAAAATCAACACTGGAAGAAGCCCTAATCACCACGTGAACACATGGAGATTAAACAACACACCTGAATGATGAATAGGTCAAAAGGGAAATTAAGAAAGAAATAAATGTATTCCTGGAACTAAAGGAAAAGGACAGTACAACACAACAAAAATCTCTGGGACATGCTGAAAGCTGTCCTTAGAGGGAAACATAGCTCTAAGTGCCTACATCAAAAAATCGGAAAGAACACAAATAAATGACTTGACATTGCAACTCAACACACTTGAAAAGCAACAGCAAATGAAACCCAAACCCAGCAGACAAGAAGAAATAACAAAAATCAGGGCAGAAATTAATGAAATTGAAACAAAGAAAACAATACAAAGAATCAACAATTCCAAGAGCGGGTTCTTTGAAAAGATAAACAAGATTGAAAGACTGCTAGCACAGTTAACCCAAAGAAAGAAAGAGCACCTCCAAATCAACAAAATCAGAGATGAAAGGGGAAACATGACAACAGACACCAGAAAGCTACAGAACATTATAAGGGAATACTTTAAAAACCTATATGCTACTAAATTTGAAAACCTAAAAGAAATGGACAGATATCTAAAGGCATGGGAACCACCAAAACTAAACCAGGAAGAGATTAACAGCTTAAACAGACCCATATCACAAAAAGATATTGAAACAATAATACAAAACCTCCCGACTAAAAAAAGCCCAGGACCAGATGGATTTACAGCAGAATTCT